CATTGTTTTTGTTCTTAGACCTTTTTGGGGTTCTAAGAACATTTCGTGGTAGGATTATAGGAATGCGGGGGCGGTCGGTCCCTGCTCAACTCTTCCCGCTGCTCCTCCCCCTCGTCCCACCCCCGGAGTTCACATTGGTTGTCCTAAGGTTTTTGACTGATTTCAGCGCTCTCGCCTCTGGGCCCTTGGGGGCCCATGACGGCCCAAACGGCGTCGAAGATGGCCCCAAGACGGCCCCAGACAACCCCAAGATGGCCCAAAGGGGGCCCCAAGACGGTCCAAGAGGACCGTGCTCGCAGATCCCTGGACGTTTTTGTTTCCGAACATTTCCTGGCCACGTTGGCCGGTAGTCACCGCCACCGGCGCCTTCGTTGCACCAACCTTTCTTATCCAGACAGTTTGATGAAATGACGCCATAGTGTGGGTCTAGCCGAGTCGAGCCCTCGCAGAGTAGATGCTCATGCCTTGCTTGTAAAGATCGAGTGAGGAAGCGGGCTGCCCCCCCAACCCCAACGGGAGATCAAGAAGCAGACAAGTTGGTATCCCGATGGGGTCTGGGCCACCCACCCCTCTCCGCCTATGCGTTTCGATGGTTTTTGTTGACGAGCGTAGTGGTGTACAACATGTGCCTGGGGCTCAACACTGACAAGCGGGGGCAGGATCGAGGGACTTGCCGGCGAACAGGAGACACAGGCGAAAGAAGTAAGTGGGTGATTTCGTGTTCTGGTCAGGGCAAGCCTTTGCCGCATTAGTGGCCTTTGGTCGCTCCAAGACGGTCTACGCGCCGGAGAGGGCGACCTGCGACATCGTCGGAAGCGAATTCTCCGAATTCCCCCCTCCTCCTCTTCCTCTTCCATCCCTCCTCCTCGTCACCCTGGCCCTCCCCCTCCTTCACCTCCACATCCTCCTCCTCCTGCTCCTCCTCCACCTCCACCTCCTCAACCTCCTCCGTCGCTTCCTTCCCTTCTTCTCCTTCTCCTCCCCCTCCTCATAATCATTCTCCTCTTCCTCATCCTCCTCACTTGCTTCCTCCGTGTCCGCCCCCGCCTCCTCCTCCCTCCTCCTCCTGCTCCCCCTCCTCCTCCTCCTCCTCCTCCTCCTCCTCCTCCTCCTCCTCCTCCTCCTCCTCCCTCCATTTGAGCCGTTGACCTGCAGGAAGCCCTGGGGCAAGCCTCCTTCCTCCACTCTTCTACCCCCGCTCCTCCCACTCACCCCCCCACCCTATGCCTTCCACTTCCACGTCCCAATCCCTCCCCTTCCCCCCGTTCCCCTCTTGCCCCTGCTCATCTTCACGCGCCGCGGACGGCGGAGGGGGGAGCGAAGGGAGGAAGGAATGGAGGAACGGATAGGCGAGGGAGAGGAAGAGGGAACGGAAGGAGGATGGATATATGGGAGGACCGTGGGAAAAGGGACGACGGTAGGGGGGATGGGATGAAGGATGACGATGAGGAAGACAACGAGGAGGACGAGGAGGCGGAAAAGGAGGAGGGGGAGGAGGAGGAGGATTAGGAGGAGGAGGAGGAGGAGGAGGAGGAGGAGGAGGAGGAGGAGGAGTGGCGCGCAGGGGCTCGCCATGACCCACGCCCAGCGCAACATCGAGCTCGAGGAGGAAATCAGGCGGATGTGCGGTGCCGATCGGGAAAAGGCGCGCCCGGGGGGGGGGCGCGGGAGCTGGAGAAGGAGGGGAGGAAGGCAGGAGACTGCGGTCGGGGACTTTGGCTAAGCGTGTCGCGCCACCCGTTCTGGCCCACCACGCCGCGGCGCGACACGCTGTCCACATCCCAGTCCCTAAGCATCAGCGTCTCGAGTGTTTCCCGGCCTCCCGTCCTGCGAGGCGGAGCGACACGCCATCTGTTTGCAAGGCATAGCGTGTCGCTAGGACCGCCGCCGCGGCATGCTGGGCACAAGTTCCTGACCGTAGGGGGCGGAGATCGTGTAGGCGATTGGGGAGAATATGACGAATGAGGCGCATGGAAGCGGAGGAGATTGAGGAGGATGCGGGGGAGGAGGAGGACTGGATGAGAACGAGGAGGACGAGGTCCTCCGACGCTGGATCCCCAGGCAGCGCAGAACCGATCCCCGCTCGTTGCCCCTCCTTGCCATCATGTTTAGTATCCCCTTGTCCTCATCATCCTCCCCCATCCGCCTCTTCCGCCCTGTCAATTCGCAGTGTGTACCACGTGGCCCAGATCCAGTAAGAGAGGCACCAGGCATGGCTGGGCATCGTCTCCCTTCTTTACCCACGTCTTCGAAGTTGATTTGGTGGGGTCAGATCGGTCGTTCCGAGCTCGGGCCACCCCTTGTCCCCGCCTACTCATGTCGAATCCCATCCCGAGATAAGACCGAACCGTATAAGTGGGGTCACTTCATACATGTCCCCCCATGGGCAAGTTCGGTCACGGCCGATAGCTTTCTGCCGTACCTAAGACTGTGCGGATGTAGTCGGGTGTGGAATGACCACTGGGTTCTGAATTCCTTGCAGTTGCACGGCATCCCGTAATTCTCCGCCGATGCGTAGGGTCAAGCCAATGTGGGCCATGATGTCTGTCAAGCCGATCGCGACCTTGGACATCCGTGCTTGCCCCCACCCCCCTTCCGCGGCTCCCAACTTCCCCCCCTGCCCCCACCCATCATACCCCTCCCGTCCCCTTCGCCGTTCCCCCTTCCCCCATTCCTGACGACCGCCGTTCCCCCTGCGCCCCTGCGCCCCCTCCCCTCGCACATCCCAGTCCCGTGTCTTCCCCCCCGCTTGCATTGCCCCTTTCACCTCCGCCCCAACCTCCTTTCCATGTTACTCTCCGCTCTCTCTGCTCCTTTCCTCCCTACTCTCCCTCCCTCTCTCTGTCTCTCTCTGTCTCTGCTTCCCCCTCTTTGTTATCTCTCCTTCTCTAGATGGGTATTCTATAGATATGGATTGATATCCCTCCCTCTTTCTCCCTCGTTCTCTTTTTTGTTGTCTCTCTCTCTCTCTATATATATATATATAGATGTATAGAGATATCGATATATTTGTATAAGCTTGCTGATTAATGATATGCAAAAGACCGAAACACGCCGTCAACACCGATCTGTAGTTTTTCCTGGCTCGAGCCCCCCCCTCCCCGGGGGGCAGGGGGGAAACGGACCAGGGGCCCTTGATGCTGGGCCAGCTTGCCCAGGCCGCCGTGCTGGGGGTGGCCAACCTGGGCGGCGCGTGGCTGGGGAAGTGCCAGCCGCCACCGTGCCCAGCCTCGCCGGCCTGCCCGCCGGCGGGCGCTTGCACGTGCCCGCCAGCGCCGGCGGTCTCGTGCCCGCAGGTGAGCGTCACCTGCCCGGCGGTGCCGGCCGTGGAGGCCCGCGCCTGCCCCGAGGCGCCCGCGGCGCCGGCGTGCCCGCCTCCGCCCGCGTGCCCGCCGAGCACGTGCCCGGCGGAGGCCGCCGAGGCGCTGGGCCGGCAAGACTGCTGGCCGGAGACACAAGTGGCGCTGAGCTTCGCGTGCGGGCTCGGCGGCGTGGCGGTGCTGGTCGGCTTCGTCCTGGGTACGTGCTGCGCGAGGCGCCATGCAGGCGCGGGGCCATCCGCAGGGCACCCTGCATCTGGCCGGTCGCAGCTGTCTGGTGAACTACGGGGCCGCGGAGTGGCACTGGAGAGTAGTGCTCGCCGGACTGGTGTCCTCGGACTCCCGGGCCCTCATCCTGACGCCGGATGGTGACATGTACATTGAGGACTTCAATGACGCCGTCGCCGTGCGTTGGTTGGGCCCGAACAACGAGGTGCCAGAGGGCGTGCCGCGGAACCTGATCTATCACTTCGGTCAGTTCCCGTCGGCGGCGACGCTGCGCAGACTGATGCAGGAGGGTGCCTACACCGCTGGGCTGGAGGATCAGCGCCGCGGGTACGGCATCGCCGTGTGGGGAGCTGGAGGTGCCGCTGGCGCCGCGGGCGGCGCTGCCGCCGGGCCGGCCGTGGCCCAGGCGGGTGGGGCTGGCCGCGTGGCGGCAGGCGCGCCCGCTTACGTGCCGGCCCAGCCTCCCGCGCCGGGGGCGCCTGGCGAGGGCGAGGACGACGGGCCGGGCCCGGCGGCGCTCCAGGGCCTCATGGGGGTCGGCCGCGACTTCCGGCCGCCAGCGCGGCCGACGGTGCAGCCGGTGACGGTCCACACTGTGCGCTGGGTGGCGGCTGAGAGCGTTGAGTTCCCTGGAGGCAGCGTGGGCCGAGGAGATGACGTGGCGTTCAACGGCTCGGAGATGGTGTCGGGCCGAAAGGGGGTGATCGTGCTGATGGGGGTGTCCGTGCTGATGGAGGACATCGGCGACGCGGATGTGGAGGCCTACAGGTCGAAGGAGGCCCACCACGACGCGAGGTTGCTGAAGTTGCAGAGGGACTCCCGAGGCGACCGACATCGTCCCTGGCGTGACGTGGCCCGTGATGTGAGCGCAGTGAAGCAGACGGACTGGCCCGTGCCGGGCCCACAGACGGCAGAGTGGTGCACTAAGTTCCTCGACCGACGGAGTGAGGGGCCCGTGGGCTGGGATCGGCGCTGGCGGGCCGACAACAGGCTGTCCATGGACCAGTGGGGGGTGTCCGAGCACGAGACGCTGGCGAAGATCCTCGAGCGCTTGGGGACCCACGACCAGTGCGACGTTGTGAACCTAGCGGCGGCGGAGGACATCGTACGGCGGATGCAGCTCATCGAGTACTTCTACTACGAGGTCCATCGGCAGTCGGACTCCAGCAAGCAGCAGGACAAGAAGGGCGGCAAGGGTGCGCGCCTTGAGGAGATGGCCGTCTTCTCGGGGAAGCATCGTGAGTACGGCGAGGTGATGGTGGCTCCCGAGCTGCTGACCTACGTCGCCTCCGAGCTGGAGCGGGACTCTGGCATCATGAAGCAGATGAGGAAAGCCCGCGAGGGACGGCGACTCGCGGGCAAGCATGACCAGTGAATGGGGCCGCCGCGGGAGTCCCCGATCCCGCGGCGAGTATGCAGGGGGGCCGCTGGAGATGAGCCCCAGCGCGGCCGATGTACGTGGCTCACATGAGGGCAGGGCTGTCAACCGTGATCTGCTTCCTCTGCCTCACTACCGCCTGCCGAGCACGGGCAGCGACGATGGCGGCCAGCCAAAGTCTCGTCGGGGGCAACGCCGCCGAGGGGAGCGAGCCCATTGCGAAGACTGGGCTCGCTGCTGCGCGATCACGCTGAACGAGCTCGACCGCGGGTCTGCTGATCCGCAACCTCAGGGACAGCGGGCCAGTGCCGGGCAGGAGCGCAGCTTGGGGATGATCCAGGCTGCGGTAGCTGAGCTCGGACGGCCGCCCGCCGACCTGACTCGCCAGGGAGCCCTCGCGGAGCTCCTGGCCAAGCGCAGCTACACCGGCGAGAAGGTGTCCGTTGCTCGGCTCGACATTTCTTTTTTGTCTCTGCCCGCTGGTGGGGACGGTCCTCGGGCGCTGACTACTTTGCTCGGGGATGAGGGTCCAATGGTAGTCGATGCCTTTTTAAAAGACAAAGTTTTGCCTCCATCGGAGGCGGCGGCGCGGGTGGCCGAGTCGGCCTTGAAGCGCCCATACTACGATCCTTCGCTGCAGGGGAGGCCGCGCCGGCATGCGCGACTCCTTGCGGCCCTCGACGGCGCAGGCATGCTCGAGTGGAGGCGGCATGGATCGCCCCGGGTAGGCCTGTTTACTGTTTGGAAAAAGAACGGCAAGCAAAGATTGATTGTCGACGCGCGTTTATCCAACTTGTGTTTCGCCTCTCCTGATCCGGTCGACCTGGCCACTGGCGGATCGTTCGCGCCCCTCGAGGTTGACCCGGGGCCCCCAGTGTGCCTCGCCCAGGTCGACATCCAGGATGCTTTTTTACCACCTCCTCCTCCCTCCTGAGCTCGTCCCCTTATTCTGTCTCCGCCCTGTCACGGCTGGACTCGCTGGAGTCTCTGAGCTCGACGGCGCCGCTGTCTCTCCGACCCAGCTCGTGTACCCGCACCTGCGTGTTGTGCCGATGGGTTGGAACCATGCTTTGTGGTGGTGCCAGCGAATTCACGAATTTCATGCCTTTCGGCAGCCCGGCGTGTCCCTCTCAAACAAGCTCTCGGATAAGAAGCCCGGGGTGCGTCTGGGCCGCTCGGGGTTTGCTCACACGGAATACGTGGACAACTTTGCGGCCATCGGGCGTCAGGCCAGTGAGGTCGATGCCGTGGCCGATTCCGTTCTAGACGCCCTGACCACCGCGGGGCTCTGCATGCATCTTCGTGAGAGCTCGGTTGGCGGGTCCGTCTTGGGTTGGGAGTTTAGTGACGAGTGCCCTCAGGTTCGTGTGAGCCCTCGCCGAGTGTGGAGGCTCCGTCTCGGCATGGAAGGGCCCCTAGAGAGGGGCTTCGCTACTGGTAGGGACCTCGAGGCCATCATTGGACATTTCACGGTTGCCGCTCGAATTCGGCCTGAGGCCCTGTGTGTGTTCTCCGCTGCGTATGCCTTCAGTCAGCGGGGGGCCGACACTCGCCGTAGGTTGTGGGCTGCCGTGCGGAGGGAGCTTCGTTGGGCAGTAGGTCTCCTCCCCCTCCTCCGTCGTCGCCTCGATGCCGACTGGAGCTCAAAGGTGCGGTGTACAGACGCCTCCCCTTGGTCGGGGGGCTTGCTTGGCTGAGCGCGACGCTCGGTCCATCGCGGAGGCTGGCCGGTGGTCGGACCGGTGGCGCTTCTCGCGGGGGGCCGAGGATCGCGTTCGGCCGAGAGACGCCTCGCTCCGGGAGGAGCTGAACTTAGCCGCGGCGGCCGGTCTGGACGACCTGGATCGTGTCGGGACGGCTCGGCACCTGGAAGCCCTCGGCGAGGCGGATCGGAGTGGGGCTGTCCCGGAGATCGGGCCCGAAATCCTTGAGGGATCCTGGACCACCATTTCGGCCGGCCGCTGGATGCGACGGGAGGCGATGCCCATCTTGGAAGGGCGCGCTCTGGTCTGGGGGGTCCGACATGCGAGCCGGGGTTTAAGCGAGTTTGGCAAGCGGATTTTGTTTCTGACCGACGGGATGTCCGAGGTCCTGGCCCTTGAGAAGGGCCGATCGTCGAGAGTGGGCGGCGACGGTGTTTGCGGCCGATTTGTATCCTCGAGTTCGGTGGATTCGGTCTGAGTTGAATGTGGCCGACGAGCCTTCGCGTCGCTATCAGCCGAAGCCATTTGGGCTCAAACCTGGGCGCTTTCGGCCTCCACCAGGTCTGTCCGAGCCGGATGACGACCGGCCTCCCGCGACCACTCGCAGGTGCTTCGACCCTGCCGTCTTCGGGGGATGTGGTTCTGGCGACCGGCAGCCTGGTGAGGCCAGGCGGGTCTGCGAAGCGGCGACCTGTGCAGGGCGAGCCGCTCACCCTGTCGCGAGCAGCGGCACTGTCCAAGTCTGGTCCGCGGCCGCGGCCGACCCAGAGGCAAGCCCGGGCGAAGGCATCGGCGAGACCCGCCAAGCCTCGGCCCGAGGTGCTGGCCACGAGGGGGGAGCGGGCCGCTGTCCGGCAAGCGAAGTTCGCCGAGGACAAGCGCGTGACAGACGGCGAGGGCCTCTCGCTGCTCGAGAGGGAGAGCGTGGGCGACCACAACCAGCGGGTCTACCAGTCGGTGCTCGTGGAGTTCAGGGTGTTCTCCAAGACCTGGGCCTGCGCCTCAAGGCCGCTCAGGACTACGACGAGGCAGCCGTGGAGTGGGCCCACCGCGCGTTCTTCGACGGCGGCGACGCCCAGGAGGGGACAAGGCTCAAGGCGGTGCTGCTGTACTACTACCCGCGGCTCCTGTCCGTCGCCGGACTGCCCCGGTTCAGCCGAGCGCTGAAGGGGTGGAGGCGACTGGTGCCGCCTCGGAGCCGGCTGCCGCTGCCATGGGAGGTCGCCTGCGCGGTGGCAAACAAGCTCGTGGCGAACCAGGACCTGCACGCTGCCCGCCTCATCATCGCGATGTTCGTGTTCTACCTGCGTCCCGTGGAGCTGATGTCGCTGACCGGGCGGCAAGTGGTGCCGCCGGTGCGGGCGGCAGGTCACGATGCGTGGTCGCTCGTGCTGTTCCCCATGGAGGAGGAGACGCCCAGCAAGACCGGCGCTTTCAACGAGAGCGTGCTGGGCGACCTGCCTTTCTACCGCTTCATCGGCGACGTGCTGAAGCTGCTCAAGGCCGGCGTCGACGACAAGGGTCTCGTGGCCCAGGTGCGGTACGTGCAGCTTGCACAGGCGTTTCGCACGGCGGGCCAGCAGCTGGGCCTCGAGGGCCCACCAGGCCTGTACCAGCTGCGACACGGCGGAGCGTCCGCCGACCTGGCCAGCGGCCGCCGCGGCATCGCGGAGGTGAAGGCCCGCGGCCGCTGGGCCAGCGACAGCTCGGTGACGAGGTACGGCAAGGGAGGCCGCATCGCCGACCAGCTGGCCAAGCTGCCGCAGCCGTTCCTCGACCACGCCATCGCCTGCGCCAAGAAGATTGGCGACGTCCTCTGCGAGCGCTGCCGGCCTTTGCCGCCCGTGCGGGCGGGGCCGTAGCGCTCGAGGTGTTCAGCGGCTCCGGCAATCTCAGCCGAGCCTGGCGACGTCGCCAGCATGTTTTGGGCTATGCCATTTTTGAGTGGGACATCCGCTGGGGAGATGAGTATGACCTCACTCGCCAGCGGGTGCAACGCCTGGTGCGAGGATGGGTCAACAACGGGCTGATTGCTGCCATCTGGCTGGGCACCCCTTGCCACAGCTGGAGCCGTGCACGGGACATCCGTCCAGGGCCCCCGCCCTTGCGGAGTGACCTGCACGTGATGGGGTTGCCCGACCTGGCGCCTCGTGACGCTGAAAAGGTCAGGGTCGGCAGCGCCCTGATGAAGTTCTCAGCCTCGCTGTTTATGCTGTGCCAAGCCGTGCGCGTGCCGGTAGCAATCGAGAACCCTCACATGTCTAGAATTTGGCTGACGCCTCAATTCATTAGATTGCAAAGAAAATGTCGCTCTGTCGTGTTGGATTTCTGCCAGTTCGGCCAGTCTTGCCGAAAGCGCACTCGCATTATATACGATCACGTAGACCTCCAGCCGTTGCATTGCCTCTGTCGAGGCCCCCGCGGGATCTGTTCCCGCACGGGCCGCCCGCATGATCAGTTGCAAGGAAAAAATGCTGACGGCGTTTTTCGCACGCTCCTGGCCGAGGCTTATCCAGCTGATTTGTGCACTAACATCGTCCGATGCTTCCAGCTCGCGCTTGCCGAAAAGAAAGATCAGCGAATGCAGAGAATTTGGTGCGGCTGAAGCCAGTAGCGTTTTTGGAAGAAGAGTTGTTCTGTGCAAAAAATAGTTGGTGCCCGCTTAGCTTGATGTTAAGCGTTTCCTCGAGCTCGAGTCTGTGTGATCTGTGATTGCAAAGTCGGAAGACTTGTCGACACCAGAGATAGCATCGCTTCGCACTCCTGGCGGAAAATGGGCTGGGCGTTTCATTTGTATAAGCTTGCTGATTAATGATATGCAAAAGACCGAAACACGCCGTCAACACCGATCTGTAGTTTTTCCTGGCCAACCGTCTGCCCCACCGCCGCCCTCTCCTTTTAAAATTGCAGAACAACATGGTTCAGGTGCCCGCTTAGCTTGATGTTAAGCGTTTCCTCGAGCTCGAGTCTGTGTGATCTGTGATTGCAAAGTCGGAAGACTTGTCGACACCAGAGATAGCATCGCTTCGCACTCCTGGCGGAAAATGGGCTGGGCGTTTCATATATATATATATATATATACATCTCCCTCGCGCTTTTGTAGTCTTCCTCCTCCTCCTCGCTCATTCCTCGTCCGCCCGTCGCCTCCTCCCCTTTGTTAGTGTCTCCCACCATGCGCGCCCCCTCTTGTTCTTTCCCCTTCTCCTCGTCACCATCCTCCTCCCCCCCCTCCTCGCTTCCCCAAGTCCTCCCCCCCCCGCCCCCCCTCCCACCCCCGCCCCCCCCTCCTGCGCCTACTTGCTCATTCCCGACGGGGTCGATGGGGGGGGAGGAGGAGGGAGAAGGATGCGGAGGAGGAGGAAGAGGAGGAGAAGGATAATGAACAGGGAGAAGGGAAAGGTCCAGGTAGTCTGATAACGCGAGTCAATGGGCGCCGCCCTCCCTCCCATAGCATGAGAAAAGGCGGTGGCACAGGAGGAGGAGGAGGAGGATAAGGAGGACGCAGGATGATGATGATGATGAGGAGGAGGAGGAGGAGAAGGAGGAGGAATATAAGGATGATGATGATGATGATGCTGATGATGATGATGAGGAGGAGGAGGAGGAGGAGGAGGAGGAGGAGGAGGAGGAGGAGGAGGAGTTATGAGAAGCAGGAGGGGAAGACAGGAGGAGGAAGGAAAACGGCAGGAGGATGCAGCAGGCGCGGTGCTACGGGGCGCTTGGAGCTGCTTCGCAGCCGCCCGACCCAGCCACCACAGTGCGGGCACGCACACAGGGCACCTGCCCCACTGCCAGAGCCGAATTGGGGCGGAGCCAGTCCTGCCCCTTGCCCGGTGTGGCAGCACCGCGCGCCCCACCGCCGCTGGCCATGGGCGCAGTGCAGAAACATAGCCTCGGACGCAAGCGTTGGTCAAGCAGTTGACTTGTTCACGCGGGGGCTGAAATATCGAGGTCGTCGTCGGCTTCGTCGTCGTCGTCGTCGTCGTCGTCGTCGTCGTCGTCGTCGTCGTCGTCGTCGTCGTCGTCGTCGTCGTCGTCGTCGTCTTCGTCGCCTCCTTGGGTGCGCACGACCAGACCAGACCAGGGCGAGGCACGGCGGAGCGCCCCCCTCTCCCGCGACGGCTCGGGGGCGGCGCCCGGGGGCGGCGTGGTGCGGGCCGCGCCCCGGCCGCGGCGCCAGGCAGCCCGCCTATGCGAGCTCGAGGCCACCGCTGCCGCGGCCGTCGTCGCC